TAGTATGTACAGTGACCACAAACCTTTCTAAATACTTGAATTTCCTAGTGGGGTGGTTCTTTTGGACGGCAGTGGTTTGTCTGTGATAAACTACCTTGAACTTCACTCTTGGAGACCCATGAACATGTGATGTTTCCAGCTCCTAGTAACTCCACTTAGGAGACAAGCAAAACTAAATTTGTGCTTTTATTAATCAAAAAATGTGTTAATCTGGGGCAGATCAGAGGTGTCTGAACTGATAAGAACAACTCTGACTGCCCTCTTTTCAATCTGCCATTATCCTAAAGGTTCACATGTTTTTTGCATCAATGGCCTTCATTCTGTACACTATCTCAAAGTTGTCTGATCAAAACCTCATATCTCCAAAATGGTAACTTCACAGGAGAAGGAAAAAACATACTTTACTGTTAATGTGAGCCAATGGAACCAGACTTTGTTCCAAGTAATTTAGGGCCGTTTCTTTTGGTCCATTCATCATAACATTTGCGCACAGTGTTAAGGGCAACAGGTATTTTCAAATTACGCCAAAAACTGAAAAACGTCAAAAGGAGATACAAAGTTTTGTTCCGACAGCAGCGATTTGCTTATATGCTTCGAATTTAACCTCTTTGCTTAATGTTATTATGTAAAAATAATTTGATATGTTAGGAGCCATTCATGCAGAAGTTGGCGTGGTTTTAAGAGTTTCATGCAACTGTGCATCCAGTAAACTGAGGAAACATTCAGCACTTGCTTTGGGTCTGTTGTTGGTGATAATAAATTATCTCTTATCTTATTTTTACCCCTACCACTTGTTTTCGAGTGTCACTTTACCCCTTAGAACTGAGTTCCAAGGGGCAGTGGTTGAAATTGTCCCCTACGAAATGGGACCCTCAAATAGAAAGAACATTACTTCATTAACAGGCTACTAGCACTGCTCTGTAGGCGACCCTGCCAGTCTGCAGTGACAGCAGAGGAGGATAAAGTTCAGCTCCTCACTGCTGGTCTTTAGTTACATTTAGAGAATCATATGCCTTCAACGAGGCATTATTTATTATCACCCACCCCTAATTCTTCAGTGATATGTGGCTGAAGTCAGCTATTCACCAGCTTCTTGTTCGAATTTTCTCGTCCAACCTTAAACTTCAGGTGGTTTACGTGGAAATTTAGCTATGTAGCTACTGAAACATCGTCATACTACTAGTGATTTTTTGTGAAAAGAACCATAATACATTGAAATGACATTAAAGTAAGATAATACAATAGTTGTCGTAATTTTTTAACAGAGAAAATCCTCACATTTGTGGGTTCCTTTGGTTGCTCGCGCAGCCATCTTGTCATTTTTTTCTTTTTTCTCATAACACTCTGGAGTGTGTATCTGAAAAATCTCTGTTTGTAGCCCTAACACTTCGCCCTACCCCTCTATCTCAACACAAATTGGGACACCCTACCCCTAGACGTGAATGCGCAAAACGGAGGGCTAAAGGCTGAGTGGTAGGGGCAAGGGGTGAAATGGCATCAGGCCTTTATGTGCCTACTTCCAAATGTCTAGTATACTGAACACTGAATATTATATGCTTCCCAGTAAAAAAATATAATTCATTAATGTATCATGTTATTTAGTACACAGCACTGAACACGTTACATAACAAAACAGTGCTTGTTTTTAAAGTGTCTAGTCTCAGGACTGAGGAGGATCATACTTTTCTTTTTTTTTTTAATCCCCAAGGTCCACTTGTGAGGTTTGTGTGATTTTAAGTACAAAAACACTCATAATTCATTTTTATGTGCTCGTTTTCCAACCTCTTCTGTTTTCCCTACATACTGCACTAATGCATGAGCAAAATGGTCACTGAATGCACTTCAAATTGTTTACGGATGTCTTTCTCAAAGATCTGAGCGAAGATGTCACTATAGTTACTGCTTCTATTTAAACAGTAAACAGAACTAGTTGAGTAGTTCTTGTGACTGAAGCTCTTGCCATCCATGACCCAATAATGAACCCTCTTTCAATATGGCTTAGATCTTTTCCTCTTGCTGTCTTGATCTAAACCAGAGGTCAAGTGGGCCTGTTCAGCATTTTTATATATGCAGCATGGTAGGATGTTCATTTCTTAACTGTATCATGCAGCACAACCTGTCTGGAAGCAGCAGTTTGTTGTTGTTTCTCCACTCATTTATTCTGTTTTTTTTGTCCCCCGTCTGTACACCGACTGGCCACTTCATCAAAACTGTCCATTTTATCAGCTCCACTTACTATATGGGTGCACTTTGTAGTTCTACAATTACAGACTGTAGTCCATCTGTTTCTCTGCATACTTTGTTAGCCCCCTTTTACCCTGTTCTTCAGTGGTCAGGACCTCCATGGACCCTCACAGAGCAGGTATTACTTGAGTGGTGGGTCATTCTCAGCACTGCAACGACACTGATGTAGTGGTGGTGTGTTAGTGTGTGTTGTGCTGGTTCGAGTGGATCAGACACAGCAGTGCTGCTGGAGTTTTTAAACACCTCAGTGTCACTGCTGGACTGAGAATAGTCCACCAACCAAAATATCCAGCCAACAGCGTCCTGTGGTCAGCGTCCTGTGACTGTGAGCTATCGTCTCTGACTTTACATCTACAAAGTGGACCAGCAAGGTATGAGTGTCAAATAGAGTGGACAGTGAGTGGACACACCACCACCATGTCAGTCTCACTGCAGTGCTGAGAATGATCCACCACCCAAATAATACCTGCTCTGTGGTGGTCCTATGGGGGTCCTGACCACTGAAGAACAGGGTAACAAAGTATGCAGAGAAACAGATGCACTACAGTCTGTAATTGCAGGACTACAAAGTGCACAAATATGGTAGGTAGTGCTGATAAAATGGACAGTGAGGGTAGAAACAAGGAGTGGTTTGCTGGTCTGTGTACATGCAATGGAGCCTATGTAATCTCATTATTACAAAATATGAAATATTGTACTGTAAAATGTGTTTATGCTCCAATATCATGTTAAAAGATGTGGATTTCCAATATGTTAAAATAAATGTGGTACTTGTGTGATATGAAATGTGGTGTAAGCACTCCAATGGCCGAGTGAGTGTCATGTTCCACCTGTGGCAAGAAACAAAAGACCACGTTTCGTTCACTGAACTAGTGAACCAAGGCACCCTCTGCTGGATGAAATGTATATTGCAAGTGTGAGTCCTGCATTGTCAGTGATATCAACCTGCTGACAACTGATAACAGACAATGCAGCAAGGAGGAGTTCAGGGAGCTGTTTTTTGCTTATTAAATGCTAATAAATGTAAATAGAAAGTTTTTGAATAAGAATGAACAATGAGTCTATGGCATAGTTAGTACAGGTAGAAACCACACTTACCAACCATGTCATTAGAAACCACCTTGCTATATGTGCCGGTAGCTCATTCATTGGTGCACAATTTGTGTTAGCCATCATCTAGACTTTTAGCAACGGTCAGTTTGTGACCACAGAATTTCTTTACATGTAGAAAATGTGGCTGTCTGTCTGCCAAAGTAACAACTTTTGGAATTTCGAAATCCTCCAAATTTTCAACTGGATTCAAGTCAGTAGACTGGCTAGGCCATGCCAGCATCTCGACCCTTTCAAGAAACCAGTCTTGAGTTGTTTGGGGTCATGGTCTTGTTGAAACGTCCATCTTTTTGTACTATTTGGCCACTGAGATTACATTCTCCCCCGATATGTTTCGCTCTGATATGCTTCACTATGTTTACTTTATTTTAATAATGGGTAATGCCCCAGTACAGAGAAGCAACCTCAAATCATGATGCTCCCACCATCATGCTTCACAGTTGGTACGGTGTTCTTAAGATCATTTGCACAACTCTTCTTTCTCCAAATATGATAAACCAAATTATTGTCAAAAAGCATGTGAAAACATTTCAAGTGATTGAGATCCCTTTATGTTTGGAATTAGCATAGCCACACTTTAAATGAGAGAGTAAGTGAATACAGAAAATATTTTTTTCTGCCCTGTGAGTTGTCCAGTGAAGTTGAATAGAACTAAGACAAGTTATCACCATTAGCCTATTAAGATAACACACAATACAAGATGTTGAGAGGTTTATCAGTCTGATTAGTCATAAGAGAAAATATACATACTGAGTCTTAGACGTCTGTACTTGGCAGAGTATGAATCTGGCTTACATTGAGCATTGTGGACTGATATGTTCTCTACCCGTGAAGTGTCGTGCTTCGTACCACGCCCTAATTCTCCAAACTGAATATGTAGGGTGGTGACAGACAGTGTTGTTGAGTAAGATCACTGAAATGAAATGACATGTAAACTAGAAGCAATAGTTTTAGGTAGTAAGCAGCCAACATTTATTGAAGCCTTTTCAGAAGCTTCTTTAAGTTCCCACCTCCACAGTGGACGTCCAGGTGGAACGGGCCAACCTCAGTGCAGGCCGAGTCGGCCAACCTCAGCGCAGGGGGAGTCGGCCCATCTCAGGACAGGCGCAATAGGCCCACCTCAGCGAAGACTGAGTTGGCCAACCTCATAGGAGGTGAAATGTTGCTTAGGTTTATGACCATTTTCTAATCTTTTTATCCCTTATAATTAAATAGCCTGTTTTTATTACTGTGCCTTTAAGACTGATATATGTAAATGACCTCCATTCTGATTGGTTGCTTCATTTAAAAAGAAGCTTAGGCTGAAATATTCCAATATAACTTTTATATATACATATATATATATATATATATATATATATATATTTTGCAGCTTAGTTTCCATATGTGGAGTTGTGGAGTGTATGGACTCTGGGGGAATGGTATGTTTTAAAACAATAACAGTGTTTAGTTTACATATTATTGTTTCAGACAAGTGAGGAAAAATTTGTTTTTCCATATTATAAACTCTTTAAAAGTGCAAGAAAGCAGTTATATTGTGAAATGTCATTGTTATGCAGTGTTTGTTTTAGCTGTGCTGCTCATGAAAACTTAATTGTAGATCCGGTTTAGCAGTAAGAGATAAAAGTAAACAAACAGAGATTTTCTGTTGTAAATCATTTTAGTTTATTTCACATTGCTCAGTGGACAAATGGCTTTAAAAACAGTGAGAACAACCTGAATGATTGGAATGATTACGATACATAAATATCTCTGACAGGAGATGAATGACATCCTTTAAGGCAAAGCATGTAAACAGTCAGTAGTCTTCCTAAACAGCAATGTCTGTCACCACAGCTCCGCCCACACGACTGCGCAGTTCCCCTAATGACACCAATTACAGAGCTAACACTTACTATATGTGTATGTACATATATACATAAAAAACAATTCAAACCTGGCATTGAGACAGTAGGCCATTTTGTTACACAGCATGTATTTTACAGTAAAAGAATATGTACATATTTAAAACATTAGCAATAATACAATCTTCTTTTCCATGTAAGATTCTGGAAACACCACATTTCATTAAAAGTGAATGAAATACAGGGAAAACATATTTACTCACTCGTACCTCTCACAGGTTTATTGCTGTATTCAGTTAACTTCAACATTTCATATCCACCACCTGCAACCATCTCTCTTCTTCACACTCTTTTTCCCTCATAACAGTGATTTTATAGTCTAACTCACTTATGATGGTTCCAGTATTGCAGGTATATTGTTCACTATACAGACAATAGCACCAATTTTCCCCAGACTCACCCTAAATTCACAGGAAACTGCTTGAAGGTCTATAACCCTCTCACACAAGAAAAACAAAACACAAAAAAACATGCCACTCTCACTTCCAAACTACAACCATGGCCTTCGCAAATGCTCCTGCACCCTAGAAACATAATTCCACCATTCATATTAGGGATGGTATTGATCCAAAAATGCTGGCTTGAGGAAAAAAGAAATTAATCCAGTCCGAAGTCGATCCTGAAATAGCACAGAATTGCTTGTAACAAAGTGAAGTAGCTACAGGTAGCATGACTTTAACATAAACTAATACCTAGACATTCATATGAGGGAGTATCGGACTGGTACCAATATCAGCCCACAGTCAAGGTTTCTGTATCGGTACCAATACAGGAACAGTAAAAGTGGCCATTCACAAGCTTCCTGATCTTCACGACTTGCTTATTTTCACATCTTCATACTTAACAATCCTGCCATTCTTCGTGACTATCTCTTTGATCTCCAGCTGTCCACTTTTGTCATCATAACGTCGTTGGGTCACTGTTCCATCTGGTGGTAAGGGACAAGGAATGGACATCTTCGAGAACTCGGTGACAAACGCTATGTTGGAACCTGAAACTAACGCCTCTGGTTGTGGAGCCGGGTTACGGTTGATGCGAACTACTTGTGCTTCAGCTGCTGGTGCTTTGGGAAAAGGTGTTGGTAGACGTTGAAATTTTTGGTTTGGAGCTAGGCCAACATGCCCTGGTCCTCTGGCAACGTCTTGTGCCACCAAAACTGGGTTAGGTCGTCCTGTTCCTGCCCCTGGCTTAGCCACCACATCTGCCCCTAAAATTACACCAGCCCGCCGGATTTCAGTGATCACTCCAACCATGGAGGCTCTCTCTGAAGGGTTGGTGGTCACCATCTTGGACACAACGGTGCAGTAAGGGCTGTCATTCAAAGTCTCCCTGATTTTGGTGGGAGACACAAAGTTGGTCGGCAGCCTGACCCTTGCGATGAGCTCAGCAATGATTTTGCCCATGGCCCACACGTCCGAGCGCTTGTCCCGAACTCCACTGGCTTGCAGGATCTCGGGTGCGGAGTAGGCCTCATTCCCCAAATTCTGGGCGGAGGATAAGCCGTTGAATGAGAATTTTGCAAGGCCCATATCAATGATCACAGCACGATGGGTACCATGTTCAACCTAATGGGATAAAGAGGAACAGGACATTTGTTCATCATCACCATTTTCCAAAATGACTACCAGAAATCTCAAATGTTGTTTTATGTCCTAGCTTTTTGCACTGGAGCTATACTGTCAGAAATAAAGGTACTGTGCAGGTACATTTTTCATTTATCAAGGCACAAAAAATGTAAATGCACCCTCAAAGGTACAAAAATGGTTTGAAGATCCAACTGTGTACCTCACGTGTTTTTCCAAGGCAAAAGTACATATTTGTACCATTTCTTAACTGAATGTTTTAAAACAGAAAATAAATAAAACTAAAAGCCTCCAGAGAGGGTTTGTGGAATCAACACAACTTATTTCAAATGAATAAGGTAAAATTATGCTATCTAAAGGTGTTGTAGATGTACTTCTGAGGGTACCACCCCAGTGACACTTTAGCATCTTCTTCCTGAAAGTGTACGAGGCTAATGTGGCTAGGTATCAGCTGATTCATGCCTAAATCATTGCACGCTTTGCTCAAACATTGTTGAGCTGTTGAGTAATTTCAGGTAGACTTGCTTATGTGGTTTCTGACATTGTATAATGTGATGAGTCTGTTTACATGCTTTCAATAATCCGGTCATAATCGGCTTTCTGCAGTTATCTGATTATTCAAGTGGATGTAAATAACATACTCTGATTTTTAGGTTTAGAAATTCTGTTAAGAAATCCGATAAAAAGAGCTGGATTTTAGCCCAGTAATCAGATTTCCCAGTGCATGTAACTCTTACTCTGATTTCTTTCAGATTTCTCAGACTGCACGTGTGAAAACAGATCGCGGTGTTGGAAACCCACCCACTAGATGGCAACAAAACACTTCCGAAGCGACGCTGAAACCAACTACATGCTTGATGAAATGAAGAATTTAAATATCCTTCATCTTCTAGATGATGTATGTTCATATTTTCAGGTAAAGTGGCGCGATGTAAAAAAAAAACAAAAAAAACAATAAAGTTTGAGTTTTACTTTATGTTTATGTCACGTCTTCTTCTGTGAGTTTATTGGCTGGTTGTAAAGCAGTAAAGTTTTCCCATTATCTGATTACTCAAGTGCATGTAAATTGATCGGATTACTGAAAAAAAATCTGATTTTCTGCAGCTATCAAATTATTATTACAAATAAAAAACCTCTTTCTCCAAACATGATGACCTGAATTATTGCCAAAGAGTTCTGTTTCGTCTGTCCAGACTGGATTGTTTCAAAACAGTTCTGATTTGTCTGAATCAGGAGTGTCCAATCTTATCCACCAAGTGTCAGTGTGGTTGCAGGTTTTCAACAAAACAAGACCTCACCTGATTAGTAGCTTGAAGGCGTAGAACCAGGCATGTTCCTGCAGATACACCGGCCTTTTGCAGATAAGAATGGACATTCTTGTCTAAATGCTTCCGGGCAAATTTTAGACACATAACTCTGCTTCTTTTGGACAGCCGAGTTTCATGTGGGTTGTAGGAACAGACGATTGTGGTGCAGTTTGTTTCTTACATCTTATATCTCTTATCTTCCTTATCATCTGAGAGCGTGTCGAGAAATCTTGCATGGCGCATATGTCTGAGGATGATTAGTTGTGGTTCCATGTGTAAAAAGACAAACATTCTGTGTGCATGACATGTTACTAAACTGGTTGCTATAAGCATTGATTGCTTGTTATGCAACATTAGCCTGATAGATCCAGTGCAAAACTAACGAAGCAAACTTCGGACACATCTTGGCTGATCAGGACATTAGGGGCAAGGAGGAGATGTGTCACTCTCACCATGATGTTGTCAGGTTTAAGATCTTGGTGGACGATGTCTTTGCTGTGCAGATGGAACAAGCCTTCACACATACCAGTGATGATGGTGGCCTTCACCCTTGGGGTCAGCTGTAGGAACGTTTCATTAGAACTTTTAACAAACATAACAGAACATTCAAATTTTTATCTGCTTAATTGATCATTTGTAAAAAATAGTTTACTATTAAGCATAAAGCCTTACCTGTATTTTAGATCTCTGTACATTAAATATGGTCGTCTCAAGATCCTCTCCAAAGATGAACTCCAGAGGAATGTGCCACTTTCCATCTTGCAGCCATGGATCGCCAAGAAGCTTAACCACATTGTTGTGATTGGCATTGCTGCAAATTGCAAGTTATTGCCATGAGTGAAAGACCACCTTATCTGTGCATTAATGCCAGTATTTGAGTTACAATCTTAATAAAAAAGGTGATAAGAGTTCTTTGGAGCAAAGTCTTTGACAAACCACTTTTGATTTGCTAAATAACCTTGCAATTATGGTTCTGTAGAACAATGGATAGTTCTGCAGAACCTCTCTGTGTTGAGCTGCTAGCAAGCAATGAGGGCTAAACAAGGAGGTGAGAACCTCCTGCTTTGAAAACAAATCACACTTCTCCACAAAGACTACCATAAAACTCAGCACAACTGAAGCTTTCTTGACATAAAAAAACTGTCACAATAAAAGTAGCATTTAAACCCAAACAAACCCCACTTTTATGAATGTTAACCTGTTTATTCACCTATGAAGATGAAAATCCAGTTCACTTCTGTTTTTGTAAATCATACACATTATCATCAAAACACATTCAATCAAAGTTATTAAATAAAAAAATTAATAGTTCAACTGAAGACCTCCAAAACAGGTGGAGCTGCATTTTATGACTACTGTGAATGAGGGTCAAAGAAGCATTGTAACCTCTACATAATGTTATAAGTTTTTTTCTTAGAACATCTTAGCCAAAACCCTTTATGGAAAGATAATTTTAGGTTCATAATCCTTCAAATTAAAAGAATACTTCATCCATTGGTAAAATATTTGCTGGTCACTTTTGTTTTCACATTGGCTTTTTAGATGAAGTATTCTTCAAACATTAATACTGAAACGGTAGAATCAGGATTGCGGCTTTACTCACTAATATACTTTGCATTCTCTGTCAAGCTGTTCCTTGGAGATGAAGCCCAAGGGCACTTTCTTCATCGCTGCCCAGGTGCCATTGAATTTCTCCTTATATATTTTTCCAAAGCAGCCCCTTGCTAGTGTTCTTGTAGAGTAGTCCATCTGGTGATAAAACAAGACAAACATGAGACTGATGAACAATCCGAAGGGTTTCTGTATTATTATTTTTGTATTTCCCAATTCAGCAGGTTTCACAATCTTATTTCCTCCTTTGACGTGTTCTCTGTACTTTAAGGTGGGGCAAAAAAAAATCCCCAAAGAATGAGGTCAGGTAAGTTAGGCAACACCTGGCACTAACACAGTAATCAGTGGAATTTTATACGGTCCTCATTTTAGGTGCAGAGTATCTGTATATGATTTTCAAGGTGTATAATTTACAGCAATTCAACTAAATGAAAAGGAAATTCTACTGATTTTTCAAAATTCCTGTATAACTAAATTGTTAAGACTTAAGTCATTCAGAGTCAGTCAGAATGGTTTAAAATGGTGGCTACAGGAACCAGACGTCAAGAGATTTTGATGTAAAGTTGAGGTTAAAAACTTCCCTGACAATAAAGCGGCAATCTCAGTGTTTTGAATAAAGGGAGCCTCTCTGGTATTCCAGTGTATTCCCTAATGAAAGCAGGAGGTGGATTGCGAATATAACTTTACTGAGATGCATCAGATCTTACACAGTTCTTTTTCTTCTGTAGGTCTGTTAAAGGGAGGCTGAGGCCAAAATTAGTGCTTATCTTTAACATTTTTTCTCGTTCTTAACAAATTTTAAAGACCGTTTGTCATCAGTAAAACCTCAATGACACCTTTTCTGGTGAGTAAAAACCTCTCTATGCAGTTTTAACAAAGAATACCTCTGTATTTATAGGCCATACTAAAAAATAAAAGAGTGAATTACAGCTTTCCTCCAATATGCTGGACAATTATATAGTATTTCACTCAGCAAGAACAAGCGCAGCACCAAAAAAGCTTCATGTTATAGTCTTCAGTAGGCCCACACTTTCTGGGTGTACTTCAGTTACCCTTGTTCTCCACCTCAGAGGCAGGAAAGTGGAGAGCAACAACATGTAGAAACACATCACCACCAACACAGTCATGTAAAACCACTTGAAGCTATAAAACAGAGGTTATAAGATTCTGTGCTTCATCAGTTTCTTACCACTGTTAAAATAATACCAGATATGCTGCATTAGTTTCTAAATGCAATTTTGCTTTTCAGTTGTATGTCATTTAGAGAGGGTCATTTAGAGATTCAGTGATATGAGAATTCTGGGCCGAGGCTGAAATCTAATACTTGCCACCTATATATCTGTGTGCTGATGCTGATACATACTTATCAGTAGTGAGCTATAAATGCAATAAAATGAAAAATTTTTCCAGCTTTACTTTAAAGTTCTTCTGTTCTTGAGTAATTAATGCTTATGTTCTGTGACTGTAAACAGATTCAAACTTATTGGAAAGGTATTCATAAGATAATAAAAAAGACATTTTCTTATATGTTTGTATTTAAATCAAACGTTTTTGAGCAATTATCCCCTGAAATGTTACTGATATCACTGTGCATCATTATGGACACTTCAAAAGAAATGAAAAAAAAACAAAACATGCACTTAATAATCCGATAACTGCAGATAATCAGATTTTGTCAGTAATCCTATCAACGTGTTTACACTTTTGCTCTTGAGTAATCAGATAATGGGAAACTCCAGGTCTACATGAGTCAGGAAGTATTTGGATTTCTGGTTGCAACCAGCCAATAAACTCACAGAAGAAGACACGACGTAAATGTAACGTAAATCTCAAACTTCATGCAGCAGCTTTTTTTAAACCTCGTGCCACTTTACCTGAAAATATGAACAAACATCATCTAGAAGATGAAGTATGTAGTTGGTTTTAGAGTTGATCCAAAAGTGTTTTGCTGCATCTCAAAGCCGTTTGCTTATTTCCATCTGTTTCGCACACGCGCAGACTGAGAAATCCGAAAGAAATCAGAGTAAGAGTTTACATTCACTGAGAAATCAGATTACTGAGCTAGACTGCAGGCATCTGTTTATGATTGGATTATTGTCAGGGTATTCCTCCAATCCCTTTATTACTATACCCAGTGAATGTGCATACAATGTTTCATCAGAACTGGCAGTAGGAACACCAGACTACGGTCATCTCATTTAGTCTACAGTCTGTAATTTCACCTCAGATTAGTCATATAATGGATGGATGAACGGCAGCATTGAAAGAGAGCTAGTTTTACTCCACATAACTTTACATGCTGAAACATATTTTTTGAATGTGTCAACGCCTGATAAAAACAACTACACTCGCACAGGGTGGGGTTAGACGGTTTGAAGCCCTATTTTTTCAGCTTTGTATTCAACATTGAGTAAGATATGGTGCAACGGCTACTGTTTTTGACAGGCTAGCAGTGCTCACTTCACCAGCTTTCTTTTTCTGGGAATTTGGTCTCTAAAGGTTTAGGTTGCTGTGTTGTAGTAAAACTATTTAAACCTTTTCCATGTCTTTTTTCAATCTACAGTAAAGCTAAAATATTGATATTTTTTGAGACTTTTGGAGCTTAAGTCTGTTATTCAGTAGTGGTATCGACACATACCTCACATATAAGTTAACATGTACCTAATGTCATAGTATTTTTGGGAAAAAGTGCAAAGAGCAGTTGCTAATTAAGTGTTCAGAAACATGAATTGTGTCCAGGCTAGTGCTGCTGATCAAATAAATACTGTGATTAAAAGTACAAGCCTTTCCTCCAGGGCAGCCCAGGCTGTCAAACTAGATTATGACGTGTCCTGGTTAAGTCATCTTGAAATTACCGGAATTGTGAGCTGCTGACAGGGGAAAACTGTCCATGTGACCGAAAGAAAAGGGGTTAAACTTGGAAAAAAGATTTGAAAAAATCCCTCCTGTTTTTTGGGGAGTCAATTTGACCCCATTTAGTGTTTAATATCTCTAAATAAATGATTGACATTTTTTTTCTTCTTATTTCATGTTTTTTTCTAGTTTAATAGGGACAACTGAGTAAACAAAGAATTAACATGATGATATGTTTCCAATGTCTTGTACATGAATCAGTCTCCTTTAGGGTCAACTTGACCCCAGGCTGTTTTAGCTGTATAAAACAAGAAATATTAACATTTTACACACCTTTGTTTTGGTTGTTTTGGATAACATTGAGGTCATCATAACATACAATTTTATAATTTTCAAAAAACTTCCCTCTGTTTTAGTGCCCTGACTAAATACAACCATACCTCTAGCAGCAGGAACCACTGATAGTTCACACAAAATGTGGGATGGGAAAACATAACTTTGATATTTCTTCGAGGTTTAATTTGCTGGGGTCAAACTGACCCCAAGGATAAAAGATGTTAGTAAATCTGAATATAACATGGGTTAAATAGCAGCACTATGATGACAGATCGTATTCACAGTAAAGGTGGGAAATATGATGATATGTTATCATTAATGTGATAAATCATATCATAATACATTATTCTGGATATGGTCATAAAAAGACCAGTTATAGACAGCCATTCAAAAAACCTGTAAATAACAATAACCTGTAAATAAGTAACTGTATAAACTGCATAGTAACAGGTATCTGATTGGATGTTGGAACAAAACCTTGTATTTCCATTTTCTGGTTGTTTTTTCAGTTTTTGACATAATTGGAAAATGCCTGCTGCCCTTTACACTGTGTATAAATTTCATGATAAATGAAAGCGGCTAGAATTACTTGGAAAAAAATTCTGGTTCCATTGACTTACATTAAAAGTAAAGTATGTTTTTCCTTCTCCTGTAAAGTTCTCATTTTCGAGATACAAGGTTTTGTTCTGACAGCAGCGAAATATTGAATAAAAATAATCTTAAGCCTTCTTTAAATGTGGCACTCCTTTTTTTGTATTTGTCTATTTTAACCCATTCACAAACCTCAGAAAAACTACAGATTACAGATTGTGTATGGTCAAAATGTATTTAAGTATTGTGGTTATATTTTCCCCACATCACCCACCCTTAATACAATGTAAAGATGCATTAATTACTGTGTAAAACAGCCTGTTTTTATATTTGAATAGCACAAGAACATTACATTAACAACTGTGAAGCTGTGAAGCATCTTTACTTTACAAAGTCACTTCCCTGCTAGAAAAAACGTTATAGATTAGCATAGCTGGCCACCAACAAAACCAACTTATCGCTGTTGTCGGAAGAAACCCTCCAAAATGGTAACTTTACAGGAGAAGGAAAAACATACTTTACTTTTAATGCAAGTCAATGGAACCAGACATATTTCCAGGTCATTTTGGGTCGTTTCTTTCAGTCCATTCTTCATGAAATTTACACACAATGTAAAGGGCAACAGGTATTTCCAAATTATGTCAAAAACTGAAAAACAACAAAAATGGAGATACGAGGTTTTCTTCCGACAGCAGCGTTGTGTTATTCTGGATGGTGGTTTTGTGGGTGACCAGCGTAAAGGAGTTTAGACCAGAACGTAATTCATCATTCAAGTTCAGCAGGTTAAGTTAGTCAAGGAAACAAAATTCAACTCAACTAAACGATAAAACTAAAAAAAAATGCAAATTACTGAAAAATGCGACGTTTTAATGTTCATTCGTACTGACTTTACTGAAGTCAGCTTCCTATTCGCCAGCTTCTTGTTCGAATTTTTCCGTTCCACCTTAAATAGTGCAGCGGTTACACTCTGGTGCGCGAGGCGTTACAACGACTCCTGCGCCATTTAAGGTGGAACGGGGAAATTCGAAAAAGAAGCTGGTGAAAAGGAAGCTGACTTCAGTCTAGTACTCACTCTAGCCTGTTTAGCCCTGAGCTGAATCCGGACTGAATTATTCTCGCTTTGGTTAGTATTTTGGAACAGGCTAGCTTCTTAAGTTAGCTTCCTACAATATCTTGTCATGTTCACGTTACCACGTTTTAAGTCTGTAAAGTACGTCCGCTGTTTCTCTCAAAACCACCACCAAACTGGAATAAAGTAGGTTTGTCTTATAAAGCTTATAAAGGAGAATCCATTCAGGCCCGGCACACCATCCTGAACACTTTTCAAGGTAAGCTAAGCTATTACCCGACAAGTTATATTAGCATAGCCTCAGTGCTCCATCTGAGGGAATGAGCAAATAGGTAACGTAGAAATTTGTTTTCTGCTGTGAAAGTTTTTTTTACTAAAGCTTAACTAAAGTTTTAGGTAAGAATAAAATCTCAGTTAGTCCATTAAGATAATACAAAACAGCTGTCTATGTCCAAAGCCTTTGAGAGGTTTATGAGTCCGAGTGATTAAGAGAAAATATAACGCTAACGTTACATAACCTGGGTTACCTTAGTCGTCCGTGCTTGGCAGAGTCCTCTGATATGAATCTGGCTCAGGGTGAGCATTTTGGACTGATATATCCTCCACCTCTGAGGTGTCATCTTTGCTACCACGCCCTCATTCTCCAAACTGAAAATGAAAAGACAGATAGTATAAAAGGGGAACTCCACTGATTTTTCAAAAAAAAATCTACAGAATTGAATGGTCGAGATATAAACAAAGTCATTCAGAGTGGTTTGGTGTGAAATGCTCAGTCTTAGAGAAACTTGTAGAGTCAGAACTGTTCACAGTGGTAGTGATAGGAACCAGACGTCCACCTCTAAAAGCTCCCTCACAGAGAGTCACTACATTATATGGTTATGAATTTGCTGCCTGACGTCTGAGACATTGTTTTACTGTAGTTTTGCTGTAGTATTTGGAGTAAAATGTGTATTTTTAAAAGCCATTCATGGCAGAGGGGTTCATGTAAGGCATTGTGAGGCAAAGGTCTTTAAAGAAAATGTATTTTTCCAGATTAACCGCTATTTTGCCATCATCAGCATCATAAATAAAACTCATAAGACTTGTTCACTGGTGGTTTTTGATTGTAAGTAGAATGGCTGTATTTGTGTTGTAGACAAGGTGACCCCTGGTTCCTATCAGCACCACTGTAAAGAAGTTGGTAAGTTTCTCTACAATGAATCATTTCACATTAAACCATTCACAATGACTTTGTTTACATCTTAATGAGTGAATTAGACAGAAATTTTGAACAATTTGAATTCCACTTTAAGTAAGACTCATAAATCTGATGGGCCGTGATGAGAATGAATATTAAAGCAGTTCAGATATGGAAATCTAGTTTAACACAGGTTCCTATCAATTCTGGCCAATAATTCTGTGGTGCTTATATTTATTTTTCACTTTTTAGGGTTTTGACTAAACCTAAAAAAGTATGTAGCCTAAAAAGAGTTGATTCCACACAAAATGGTCTAAAACCCAAAAGACACCTGGCAAGAATAGAGTACACTATTCAGTATCATTTAACCTTAGCAAGGAAATGCGCAGAGTTAGCGATAGCTTAATAATTAAGCTGGGCACTACACAACTTTCAAAATCCTAACAGATTTCAGAAACGGTGAGCGTCCCACACTTAACCCCCTGCTGCACGCATTATGAGAGCAATTTAAAAAAAAATGTTCAGTTCACTTTTACTGCATAAAAAGGACCTGATTATTAAATTCAAAAACATATTTAAAAAAATAATGTGTGCAATGGTCATTCTGGAGTACATTGCCTTGAGGCAACACTGGCAACTGAGAGGAAATGATATAGAGCTGTGTTCCCTGAAGTGGTGAGACCTGGCTTGTGACTGGCTAAATCCATTCCACTGTAGCACAGTGTTGCTTCTAGGCAACAAACATATTTCTGCAAATTCTCATAACAACAAAATGATAATGAATGTTAAAAAAAGAGATTTTAAAGTGCCCACTAAGAGAGAGTATGACTAAGCACATGCTTTTTTTGACTCACTCAAACTCTTGTCTTTTTTGTCATCCCTTGTTGTCTTTAAACATGAATAATATTATTGTAAAGTAAGGGGAATGAGTGTGTTGCCCTGAAGCAACACTGTGCAATAGAGGGTTAACATCACCTTTTTACAGAATTTGTTGTATTTTTGCAGTGAGCGCACACACAGTAGTCGAAAAGAGGGAACTGCACGCATGACCAGTTTTGGCTATGTAGAAGAACTCAAAATCCCAGATCTCAATGTTATCACATTCTGAAAAAAGACTATTGGAACTATTAGGATAAAGGAAAGGAAATTGGTTTAATGGTTACTATTAGAGAACACTACTTTCCTGTAACATACCTTTCTATCCCATTTGGAAAGCGTCAATGCATCTGGAATCCCTGTTAAACCATAAGAGTCCTTTACACTGTGATATCAACCCGTCAGGAAAACACAAAATATCATTACTATTGGACATCAGGAACCAACAGGAACTTAATGGCTTCTGTGTCTTTTTTCAGCAGGTCACTCAGTCAGTGGACACTGGCAAAATTGTAGGCTACTCTGTCAGCTCCTTCCGGTAAGCACAGTTTTCATTACAAGTTTGACATTTGACTTCGTTTTCAACTTTGTCTAAAGTAAAGACAGCTGTCTTATTGTACCTGTTGTAGAAGGCGGTATATTTCAGACAGACTGTCTAGACCAGCGGTCACCAGCCCTGATCCAGGAGATCTACATTTCTGCAGAGTCTGGGTCCAACAATAATCTGCCAGACCTGCACCTGCTAATGCGCTTCTTCAGTAATCCTTGATTGGCTACATCAGAAGCATTAGTGTCAGGTAAGGGTCATGATGCAGGATGGAACTAAAGTCTACAGGACAGTAGATCTCCAGGAGGAGGGCTGGTGACCACTGGTCTAGGCAGGGACAGCAGAATATCTCACTCCATGTACGGCCTGGGCAAACTGTGGCAAAAGTTTAGGAGTTGACTCTCAATTCCTAAATGCCCCAAATCGAGGAATCGATTTATTTTGAGATTGACTCCCAGTTCTACTCTGATCATCTGATCATTTTTCGACATGACTGTAGAAAAAAAAAACGTAAAATTAAAATTGCACGTCTACAGTGTACCTTACTTAAAAATATATTATCATCTCTCTCTGATAACGTGATTACCAGAGGAAAACAGATCACACACACACACATTTTCTAAGCCGCGTATTCTTCTGGGTCGCGAGGGGTGCTGGAGCCTATCCCAGCAGTCTTTGGGCGGAAAGCAGGAAACACCCTGGACAGGTCGCCAGTCCATCACAGGGGAAAAGCAATTCAGCAAAGACAATTAAAGCTGGGTGAAGTGCTGTTGTTGCTAATGATTTTAATGATAGAAATGTTCTATACAGGTACCAGTAAGTTTATACCGTTTGCACATGGTATAAACTTGTGAATTAACAGTTACTGTCTCTAGAGAAGGTCTTAATATGATGAACTTTGAATGGATTATGATGGTAAATCTAGTACTACAAGTGATAAAGTAGAGTATGTAGTAGAAAAACATCTTTAATTACACGTTTGAATACATGCATGTTTTATAATGACGATATTTTGTGCAATCATAAATGCAAAACAGTCCTAGAACTGTGACCAAACTGTACTGTCATTAAACTCACACTGGAGCCAGTAGGTGGCAGTGCTGTCTTCATTTAACTCACTAGTGGAGTCATAACTGTACCATGAAAGTTGATATAGAAGTGTAATATTACAGAAGTTCTTTATTGTTATGGAGATATTCCACAACTTTCTAAAAGTGGTTTTGTATTACTGCAGTTATCACAGCAGTAGAGTTACTGTGTTACTACATTTATTCGTGCATCTTCCATCCAGGGTTCCATACATTCATTCATTCATCATCATTAACCACTTAATCCAGATAGGGTCGCAGTGGGTTCCATACAGTATAATAATATTAATAACGCTATAACAAAAAAGGGGCTAAAAAAGGAAAAACATATAAAAATCGTTGACAGTAGGGTGATATCCTGACTATGTTTTGCACTAGTGCACAAACCCACCACTCCCCCCAACATCTAAGCTGAGTACAATAAATAATCTCCCTGTTAGCTGTGCTTGTGTAAGGAGGTGCTGTGGCACTTTTTATGGCGGCTGAATCTTGACCTTTATACTGCGTCTGGAAGAATTTCCCCAAATCTCCGTTCTCATAAAGCTTAGTTTACAGAGGAATAGAAAACATAAAATTGTTGCAGTTTTATCAGGTTTTTAATATTTCAAAACATTTCAACACAGTTTTTCATGATGAATGGGCCGGTATAAATGATCCAGAAATACTTGGATTGAACATTACGTTACAGTCAGTGTGAGTGAGAAATCATTTATGCCTTTCTGAAACGTGGTATCAAGGAGGGTCTAAGATAGTTTTGGGTGTTTGAGGAGGAAACATGATATTAGTGGTTCATATTATTTTCCCCCACCCACTGTTGCACAGTGATGTAATGAAAAAACAAAAATGATATATGATATGAAGATTTGTGCGCAATATGACCAGGAAGATTAACTAACAAGTTAAAAAAAGGTTTTTGATTTCAAGTTGACTTCAAAGTTAAGAACATTATTCCTTTCTCCTATAAATGTACCATTTCAGAAATGTAAGAGAATTTGAGTTTCTGAGGTGTCTACACCAGTTTTGAGAATTTAATGACAAGTAATAGGAGATAATAAGAATTAGAGAGTGAGAGAGTGAAACAAAATATTCATCTAAAGTGGTCAAATCAAGGGTTTTACTAAGGCGCATGCAACTGTAGTGGTCAATCCAAGGGTTTTACTAATACAAAGAGACAATAATGGTCCAACAAATTACAAAATGTTCCACTAGAGGTCTCCAAATCCCCAAATTCTTACATAGTGTAGCATTAAAGATAAGTTGAGCATGTGCAGGTCATCTGCAGTGGACTCTCTATTTAAAATACTTTTCCATGTTCAATATTTTTTTCCCCTTCATCTAGAAAATGAAATATTAGTGACATAACTTCAGAAAAGTTTTAAAGAAAGTGAAGAAAATCTACAGCATTTTTCCAACTTGTTTTGGCAGTAGTGAGGAGAGTGAAGGAAAACCAGTAGAATTCGTTAATAGCTGTGAACCAATTGTCTAGGACATCAGAGGTCAATGTGTTGAATAACAGTGATCCAAGTAGATGTTGCAGTGAGTTTATTAGTAGTTTGTAGAGCTGTTTGAAAATTCTAATTCAAATAAAAATATAAGCACATGACAGAAGAACATCTTTGCCCTGGATAAATGAGTGTATTCTTAGACTGATAAAAGTAAGAGACTTTGTTGTTTTATAACAAAATGAAAAAAACCTTTAAATAGTAATGTTTGTATAAGGGGTTAAGAATTATCTTAATGAATAAGACATCAACTTAGTGTTGTGCCCCTTTAACTGTGGTAAAATAACCATGACACAATCTCAGTCCCTTATCGCTTTTTTAAAAACAGCTCTAAAATACAATACAATAAAATTATTAATAATCACAGTAAGTGAGTCTCCTTCCAAGCAATGGAACTGGTTAACAGTAGCCTATGGTTGCCATCAATAATGTTTTCAGCAGTGGTACAGAACTGGAAATATTCATTTTATTATTTGTATTTAAAAGCATAGTATAATATTTAAGAAGACTATGTTGTAGTGTTATTTATGTATAATATAATATAATATATTTAGTGCTACAGTGTAATCATATTACATGCTGTATTACAATATAATTTAATAGAATGTTTGTTACTAAAAACAGTCTTTTTTTTTTTTACATATGACCATTTTCTAACCTCTCTTTAGCCCTTATAATTAAACAGGCTGTTTTTATTACTGCGCCTTTAAGACTGATATATGTAAATGATCTCTGTTCTGATTGGCATACTCTTTCAAAAAGCAGTCCAGGCTGGGTTGTAACTTTAGAGTGAATGGCCAGGGCAAAACTGCTGTAGGCAGTAAGTGCTGTAGGTGGATCTGACATCACAAAAATGAATTCAAAATGAGCTCTTAGTTTCCATATGTGGACTGTAGAGGAAATGGTACGTTTAACAGTGTTTAGATATTTTTTTTAATTTCAGAAAAGTTAGGAAAGGTTTTTTTTCATATTATAAACCCTTTAAACGTGAAGGAAAGCACTGTTATATTGTGAAATATGTCATTGTTATGCAGTGTTTGTTTTAGCTGTGCTGCTCATGAAAACTTAATTGTAGATCCGGTTTAGCAGTAAGAGATAAAAGTAAACAAACAGAGATTTTCTGTTGTAAATCATTTTAGTTTATTTCCTTTAAGGCAAAGCATGTAAACAGTCAGTAGTCTTATTAAACAGCAATGTCTGTCACCACAGCTCCGCCCACATGATCGTGCAGTTCCCCTATTACAGTGCACTGATTACAGAGCTAGTACTCACTATATGTGTATGTACATACTGTGTAATATACATAAAACAAAACCATCTGTAATAAATTAAAACCTGGCATTGACACAGTAGGCCAGTGTGTTAAAGAGCATGAATTTTTACGGTAAAAAAGAATATGTACATTAAATATTAGCAATAATACAATCTTCTTTTCCATGTAAGATTCTGGAAACACCACATTTCATTACAGGTGAATGAAATACAGGAAAAACATATTTACTCATTCGTACCTCTCACAGGTTCATTGCTGTATTCAGTTAACTTCAACATTTTATATCCACCACCTGCAACCATCTCTCTTCTTCACACTCTTTTTCTCTCTTAACAGTGATTTTATAGTCTAACTCCTTTATGATGGTTCCAGTATTGCAGGCGTATTTTCTTCAGCACACCTGAAAATAGCACCAATTTTCCCCAGACTCATCCTAAATTAACAGGTAGCTGTCTGAAGGTCTAAAATCCTCTCTCACAAGAAAAAGTACAAACCACAAAAAACCTGCCACATTCTCTTCCAGACTACAACTGTGGCCCTCGCAAATCTTCCCGCACCCTACAGACATAATTACCTCATTCATAATACAGATCGATCTGATACCAGCAGATCAGATATTGGAGGAAAAAAAGAATGAATACGGTCTGATTTTGTAACCAGTCTAGCCTGAAATAGCACAGAAATGCTTGTGACATAAAACAGTAGCTACACGTAGCGTGATATTACCATGAACAAGTACCGAGCTATTCCACGTGTGCAGGTGTTGTAGTTTGTATCTGACCAGTATCACTATCAGCTGATACTCAAGGTTTCAGTATCAGTATCGATACAGGAACAGTAAAAGTGGCCCTCTCTAATTGAAAAGCTTCTTGGTCTTCACGACTTCCTTATTTTCATGTTCTCATGCTTAACAATGTTGCCATTTCTCATGAATATTTGTTTGATCACCAGCTGTCCGCTTTCATCATCAAAATGAAGATGGGTCACTGTTCCATTTGGTGGTAAGGGACAAAGAATGGGTACCTTGAAGAACTCACTGACAAACACTCTAATTGGAACTGGAACAGGTCCTGTTCTTCTGGGGCCATCGTGTGCCACCAAACCTAGCTTAGCTTGTCCTGTTCCTGCCTTTGGCTTAGCCAACATATCTATGCCTAAATGTATACCAACCGATAAATGCCGGATTTCAATAATCATTTCAGCCATGGAGGCTCTCTCTGAAGGGTTGGTGGCCACCATCTTGGACACAACGTTACAGTAAGGACTGTCTTTTAGCATCTCTCTGATGGTGGGAGACGCCAAGTTGGATGACTGTCTGACACCTGTGATGAGTTCGGTGATGATTTTGCCCATGGCCCACACGTCCGAGCGCTTGTCCCGAACTCCGTTGCCTTGCAGGATTTCAGGCGCAGAATAGGCAACATTTCCACAGTTCTGGGCGGAGGAGAAGCCATTGAATGAGAATTTTGCAAGGCCCATATCAATGATCACAGCACGATGGGTTCCATGCTCAACCTATTGAGATGAAGAGGAACGGGACATTTGTTTATTATTACCATTTTCCAAAATGACTGCCTTAAAACAATGCTTTATCCAAACCTTATCAAACTTTCACAATTGTTCCTTTACAGGAAATGTAGGAAAAGCAGCCAATTTCGAGTTGTTTTTTTGCATTGAATCTAAAATGCTAATATAACTTGCCTCCAATTTAGCATTGTTCACATCTAAATCATGGCACACTTGCTTCAGACATTCTCAAGCTGTGTGATTTTAAGTAGACTTGCTTATGTGGTTTCTGACACTGTATAACATACTGTTATCTATAACATGGACTTGTAATTCCTCAATAAATGATTAATGAGATTCAAGTCAGGAGTCTTAATGTTTGCTGTATGATTGGGTCGTTATCCTGTTGAGAAGTCTCCAGATCTTCTCCCCAGATTTAGTGTCTTGGCCAATGAGAATAAATTCTCATCTAACATGTCCCAATACATTGCTCCGTCCATGTTTCCTCTGACGATGTGTAATGTCCCAAACACATTTACAGAGAAGTAGCCCCACATCAAGATACTCCCACCTTCATGCTTCATTCTCCAAACATGATGAGCTAAATTATTTCCAACATTATTTTTTTTAATTATTTTATATATGCACAAAAGTGTTTGAATCCTTGCTTCCTATCACTGTAGATAACAGTATGTCATACAGTGGCAGGAGCTTCATAAGCACAAAGTCTAGTTGAGATAAGTGTCTGATGATTTATGCATGTGGTTTACTTGATGCTGAACTGGTAACTATAAGCTAACTCACTTGCTAGCTACATTACTCACTAGGGCAAAACTAGAGAAGCAAACCTGGACGCATCCAGACTAATCGACCACATTTGGGGTACTGTGTAATTTTGGATTCCGGCTGAACTATTGTTTAGATTCATTTAATTGACCCTGTGTAATTCTTACCATGATGTTGTCAGGTTTAAGATCTTGGTGGACGATGTTTTTGCTGTGCAGGTGGAACAAGCCTTCACACATACCAGTGATGATGGTGGCCTTCACTTTTGGGGTCAGCTGTAGGAACGTTATATTAGAACTTTTACCACACATAAAAGAACATTCAAATTTTAATTTGCTTAGTTGATTATATTCTAAGTATGTTTTACTGTTCGGTATTAAACATATAGTCTTACCTGTACTTTAGATTCCTGTACTTTAAATATGGTTGTCTCAAGGTCCTCTCCCTTGATGAACTCCAGAGGAATGTGCCACCTTCCATCTTGCAGCCATGGATCTCCAAGAAGCTTAACCACGTGGCAGTGACGTGCGCTGCTGCAAATTGCAATTTATTGCAAGTCATTATAGAAGCATGTCCATCACTGGGGTGCAGTGAGATAAGTGAAAGATGCTTCTCATTTGTGCAATAATGCCAGCAATTGACCCACAATCTTAAAATAAAGATGCCATAACGGGTTCTTTGGACAGTGTGATTTGCTAAACCTTACAATGGATAGTTCTGTAGAACTGCTCTGGGTTGAGCTGCTAGTGAGCAATAAGATGTATTTTAAACATAAATTACAACTGCAGCTTTCTCGATATCAAAAATTGTCACAATAAAAGTAGCATTTAAACCCAAGCAAACCCCACTTTCATAAATGTCGACTTGCTTATTCACCTATGAAGACAAAAATGGATAATTTTCACCGAAGACCTCCAAAACTGGTGGAAATTGAGCCATTTTTAAAAATAACCAGTTCCAAGTTTAAACCCTTAGTCAACCCTTAGTCAAGGACCGTTTAAAAACCTTTATTTTTAAGAGTGTTTTTATAGCTGGTTATCCGTGAATTTAAAAGAATACATCATACAAACATGGAAACTCAGCTTCATACAGATTACATTTTGCTGACGCATTCATTTAGTTTTGTTTTCACTTTACCATTTTAGATAAGGTATTCTTTAAACAGTGACATTGAAATTACAGAATCAGGATTGCGGCTTTACTTACTGATAAACTTTGCATTCTCCTTCAAGCTGTTTCTTGCTGATGATGCCCATAGGCACTTTCTTCATCGCTGCCCAGGTGCCATTGAACTTCTCCTTATATATTTTTCCAAAGCAGCCTCTTGCTATTGTTTTTCTAGAGCAGGCCATCTAGTGATATGAAGAGACAAATAATGAGAATGATGAAGGGTTTCTGTATTATTATTCTTTTTCCCAGTCCAGCAGGTTTAACAGTCTTATTTTCCCTCTATTACATGTTCTCTGTACTTTGACGTAGGGCAAAAAAATTACCCAAAAAAAAAATCCCCAAAGAAAGAGGTCAGGTGAGTTAGGCAACACCTGACACTAACACAGTAATCAGTGGAAATTTATACTGTGCTCATTTTAGGTGCAGTGTATCTGTGATTTTAAAGATGTAATTTTAAAATGCCTAATGAAAAAGAAATTCTGATTATTCTTCCAAATTTCTGGATAGGCAAAAGACAAAAACAAAGTCATTCAGAGTCAGTCAGAATGGTTTAAAATGGTGGCTATAGAACAGTTATTACTTAAAATGGTCATGAAAGCTGCCTGACACCTACGGAATTATTTTATGATAGTTCTGATAGTTTTTAAAAAATATGTTTATAGCAGAGAGCTACACTATATGGCCAAAAGTATGTGGACACCTGACCATCACCCTTACATTTCCAATTTCAAAACCATAGGCATTAATATGAAGTTGCCCCTTTTTGCAGCTATAATAAGTTCCATTCTTATGGGAATACTTTCCCATCATTTCATCCAAAGGAATTTGGGCCCATTCAGTTAAAAGAGCATTTGTGGTCAGGCACTGATGCTAGACGAAAAGGTCTGGCTTGCGAAGGACTTTCCAATTCAAAGCATGGAGGCACATGAGCTAACAAAGTAAAAAAGGTTCATTTGAATTAAAGTTGACTTTAAAAGCTTCTCTGACAACAAAACAGCATCTCAGTGTTACTGCTTTCCAACTAAAGGGAGCCTCTCTGGTATTCCAGTGGATCCCGTAATGAAAGCAGGAGGTGGACTGCGAATATAATTGTTTTTCTTTTTTTTTCTTCTATAGGTCTGTTAAATCAAGGCTGATGCCAGTTTGTGACAAAATTAATGACAACATACTTGTCCTTAACATTTGTCTTCTTGTTCTTAACATGTTTTAAGACACTTTTTCATCAGTAAAACCTCAGACCTCTTCTAAAGGACAAAATCTTTCATTTACCAATGAATACGTCTATATTTATGAGCCATACTAACGAATAAAAGAGAGCAGTTAGTTCCTGTTCATTAAGTGTTCAGGAACATGGATTGTGTCCAGGCTAGTGCTGCTGAGCAGGAAAATACTGTGATTAAAAGTACAAGCCTTCGCCCCAGGGCAGCCCAGGCTGTGAAACTAGATTATGATGTGTCTGTCCTGGTTAATTCATCTTGAAAGTACCGGAATTCTGAGCTGCTGACGGGGAAAGCATCCATGTGACTTAACGAAAAGTAGGAAAACAAGATCTCAAATGTTATTCTCATATGATATAGTGTAGCAGCACTGTGGTTACAAATTAGAAGATGAAGAAGAAGACAATTAGAGCAAAAGCTATACGGTTCCAGCAACTGTGGTGCTTGAACCCCTAAGTCCATTAAGATGATACCAAACAGCTGTCTATGTCCAAAGCTTATGAACCTGAGCGATTAAGAGAAAATATAACGCTACATACCTTAATCGTCTGTGCTTGTCAGAGTCCTCTGAGTTTGAATCTGGCTCAGAGTGAGCATTTGGGCCTAATATATACTCTACTTGTGATGTGTCATCCCTCCTACCACGCCCTCATTCTTTACACTGTAAATGAAAAGTAATGATGGACAGCATTGCTAACCAGAGCAGATAAAACAAAAGAGTGATGGCTCATGGGGAATTCCCTGCCAAAGTTTATAGTGAATGTTCAGAGTTAACTTCTTCATTACGTGAAATGTGAAAGTTGTGATGGTAAAACTAATGAGTCTCCATTTACTATAGTGTCCTTATTTACTACTTCACCTTAATATGCATTAGAATAGGTTTATCTCTTAGGAAATAAGAAATTTCTAAAGCAATACTGACATTTACTATAGTTTACTCCAGGATACTGGCTACACCAGTATTATTGATTTCCATTAGACAATTCAGGAATTTTATACACAAGCAAAAAAAAGTCATTTGCCTATTGTTATAGTAAATATTATACAGCATTATTGACTCTTTATAGTGTCTCATTACTGTTGTTTTACAGTTTTAAAGGGTTTTACAGTTTTACAGTTTTATAAACTCAGTCATTCAGAGTGGTTTGACGTGGAATGCTACGTTCTACACTCCTAAAAATTGTGATTCTTCAATGGTTCTTTAGTAAAGAAAATGGTTCTATATAGAACCATGAACACTCCAAGAACCGTCTGCATGATTTAAGTGGTCTTTGCATCATGAAATCATTCTTCAGATTGATGGAGAATGTATTGTAGATGGTTCTATATATGGTACCTTTTTGTAAATGGATCTATGTGGCGCCCAAAAGGGTTCTTCTATTGTTACGATGTCAAGCTTTTCAAAAAGATTCTGTTTAGATCTGTCTATAGCACATTCATACAATTCTTTTTCCATCAATCTGAAGAACCTTTTCATGATACAAAGAACACTTTAATCATGCAGATGGGTCTTTGCGTGTTTATGGTTCTATATAGAACCATTTTCTTTACCCCTGAAGAACCATATTTTTTAAGTGTATAGAGAAACCTAGAGTCAGAATTTTTCACATCAGTAGTGATAGGAACCAGACATCCACCTCTAAAAGCTCCCTCACAGAAAGTTATTACATGAAATGGTTTTGGATAAGTTGCCTGATGTCAGAGACATTGGTTTAGGATAATTTTGCGATAAGATTAGACTAATTTTTAAACCCAGTCATGGTGGAGGGATACATGCAGGGCTTTGTACAGCAAAATAGTCCCTAAAGAAAATGTATACATTTCAGATTTATCACTATTTTATCATCTGCAGTATTACGTATAAAACTTGGCACGTGTGGGTGGTTTTGGATAGTAACCCTGCTAGACAAATCAGTGCAGAGTAGCTCCTCGCCAGCAAAAACAGCATATAGCCACTGTCCAACAAAACAAGTATCTCCAAAATAGTAACTTTACAGGAGAGGACAAAGACATTATTACTTTTTAATGTATGTTAAGGTAAAGAGATTGTATTCCAAGTGCTTTTAGAGCATTTCTATTGGTCCATTCCTCATGAAATTTTCACATGAAGTAAAGGACAGCTGGTGTGTTCAAATAGAGATGCATGGTTTTCTTTGGACAGTGACAATATATTATGTTTTGGATGCTGGTGTGCTGGTCAGCAGTAATGGTTGATATTCTGATCACCACCAAAACCAGCATATCGCTGTTGTCGGAAAAAAAACTTGTATCTCCAAAATGCTAACTTTACAGGAAAAGGAAAAAAACCTACTTTACTTTTAATGTAAGTCAATGGAACCAGACTTTTCTAAGTCATTTCGGATTGTTTCTTTTGCTCTATAATCTCATGTGCAGCTGCTTCAGAGCATCCATTCTATTGGCAGTGCTTTTCTACTGAGATGTAATTAAGCTCCTGTCATCAATGGGTGCACCTTAAAGTAAAATCTTAAAAAAAGATGGTTCTACAAGGGTTCCTTAGTAAAGATAATGGTTCTATATAGAACCATAAACACTCAAAGGGTTCCTTGCAGCAGGAAAGGGTTCTTCAGATTGATAAAGAATGTGCTGTATATGGTTCTATATAGAACCCTATTGAAAATGGTTCTATAAGGGTTCTTCTATAATGCTGATGGTACAATAGTGATAAATCTGAAAACATTGTATCTCCAAAATGGTAACTTTACAGGAGAAGGAAAAAACCTACTTTACTTTTAATGTTAGTCTATGAAACCAGACTTTTTTCCAAGTCATTTTGGGTCGTTTCTTTTGGTCCATTCATCATGAAATTTACACACAATGTGAAAGAGAACCAATATTTACAAATGATGTCAAATAATTACAAAATATGTCAAAAAACATCAAAAATGGAGATACAGGGTTTTCGTCCGACAGCAGCGATATGTCATGTTTTGATGGTATGCCATCAAAACCATGCTGGAGTGGCCAGCTAAACCAGCACTAGACAAGCATAAACCAGCACAGACCAGCATAGACCAGCATGAAATGCTTGTGCCTGTCCATATCCATTGTATACATTGCTTTTCTGGTTCCTACCAGCACCACTGTAAAGAAATCAGAGTTGGTTCGCTTCTCTACAGTGAACCGTTTCATATCAAACCACTCTGAATGACTCTGGAAACAACTCAGTGACTGAATTATGCACAAATTTAGAAACATCTTTGCAATTCCCGTTTAAATCGAGAATCTTTTGTCTCATCTACAGGACAAAACAGAAATGTAGACCCTAAACTGCAGTCATTAGATTCACAGAGGAGCCAGCAGGTGGGAGTGTTGTCCAGCCTGAAACTGCTCCAGTTCATTTTATGGAGTCATAAATGTTATAAATGTAAACTTTGAATCTCAGCTCATAAAAAGGGTTTTCTAGAGTGCTTATCGTTCCCAGGTCTCACTGAGGATTCCACACTGTGAGAGTCGCACAGTCATGCATTTGAAATTTAATGGCACGTGTTGCTCAGGGAAACATCTAGACGTGTCCGTCTACGTGTGTGCGCTCATCTGGTAAAGCTGTAGGAGATGCGGTCTGGGCACATTCCTCACTCTGTTGTTCTTTTGCTTCATTAACTGTCAACAGTAGTGTAATACCTTTGCTATGTTTTGTGCTATTGTTCTCCTAATCTCTAAGGTGCAACTGCCAGGTTGTTTTGCATCCAGCAGTCAGGTTGAACCTAGTTTCCTGTATCTTGACTCAAACTGTTTTCCTGTCACAGAAAGCCAACGTGAGGAGAATGAATCAGCGGTGGAGAAGTGTTGACGGTGGCGAGAAATCCTGCCAGCTCGAGCTCCACATGAGCTAATTAGTATATCTGTTAATCACACAACCCCAGATCTTCACAGGAAAAGGCCTGTGGATCGTAGGTGGGTTGTGACGTGTTTCGGCTCTGGTTTGAACTTGTGTTGTAATAAAAAAACACAAGTCACATGTCAGGTTCAGTAAGCAAGGTGCTCATCCAATATTGAGGTCAAGAGTATCAATGGGAAGCTGTTACTCCGTTGTTGCAGTAACAGCCTCAACTCTTTACGCTAGATGTTGGAACGTTGCTGTGAGGATTTGATTGCATTCGGCCAGCATTAGTGAGGTCATGTACTGATGTTGAATGATTAGTTCTGGAATCACTCCAACAGATACCAGAGCTGTTCTGGTAGATGGAGCTCCATCACTTTAGAGAATAGAGTTCCACGGCTCCACAGCCCAATGCTGGGGGGCTTTATACCCCCCTAACCGACGCTTGGCATTAGATATAATGACCTTAAGCTCATGCGCAGCTGCTTCAGAGCATCCATTCTATTGGCAGTGCTTTTCTACTGAGATGTGCGTGCAGTTGAGCTCCTGTGTCATCAATGGGTGCACCTTAAAGTACACTCTTAAAAAAGATGGTTCTTCAATGGTTCCTTAGTAAAGAAAATGGTTCTATAAAGAACCATAAACACTCAAAGAATGCAGGGTTCTTTGCAGCATGAAAGGGTTCTTCAGATTGATAAAGAATGTGCTGCAGGTGGTTGTATATAGAACCTTTTTGAAAATGGTTCTATAAGGGTTCTTCTATGATGCTGATGATCAAATAAGGATAAATCTGTATTGTATACATTTTCTTTGGGGACTTACAACGCCCTCCATGTATCCCTCCACCATGGAAATTGTCTAAGGCGTATCTTTTTGTGAGGGAGCTTTTAGAGGTGAACGTCTGGTTCCTATCACAAGTTTCTCAACAGACTTAAAAAAGATGGTTCTTTAGGGGTTTTTTAAGTAAAGAAAATGGTTCTGTATAGAACCATGAACTCACAAAAAACCCTGAAGAACCATCTTTTTAAGAAATATTCTATATAGAAACATATGAAACACTCTCCATCGGTTTGAAGAACGCTTTCTTGATGGAGAGTGTGTTTTATATGGTTCTATATAGAACCTTTTTGAAAAGGGTTCTGTATAGCACCAAAAGGGTTCTTATATTGTTATGATGCCAAGTTTGTAACAATAGAAGAACCCTTTTAGGTGCTATATAGAAACCTTTTCAAAAAGGTTCTATATAGAATCATCTACAGCACATTCATGCACATTTTCTATCAATCTTAAGAACCTTTAATGATGCAAAGAACCCTTAAATCATGCAAAGGATTCTTTAAGTGTTGATAGTTCTATATAGAACCATTTTCTTTTCTAAAGAACCCTTGATGAACCATCTTTTTTAAAAGTGTAGCTGAATTAGAAGGGCTGTGCGGATACTTATATAAAGTGTATAAACTAGGTATGATAAGAGAAGTTTACGTAATTCAGCTTGTATCAGTATCAGTATTAGTATCAGTATCAGTATCTGCCACTGTTTCCACAGACGTGTAAAACTATTCCAGACTTTGGGATGTGAGTCTACACAAATTATGGGAAATGTACCTGCGTCCTCATACTGTAAACATCATCACTGTATTGATAGAAAACATGCCGTCTTCTGAGAAGACAGACAAAATGTAAGCAACAGTTACTCATCGCTAGCCATGACACTGTTTTGGTCATGTGA